GGGGGGGGGGGGGGGGGGGGTTCTGTTGTGTGCATAGAAAATGGGCTTTGTGTTTAACCAGTAGAAACCAAGAAACTGCTTGATAACAAAGAAAAACTCAGCAAGACAGAGATCTACTCCATACAGTGGAAAGGAGCTACAGTTGGTGCATCTCACTTCCAGGATTCTGGCCAACCTGGAATTTCTGCCTCTTCTGTGGTTAAAAGGTGGTTCTGCTTGGCAAAGTGGCTCTGCAAAAATGTCTTTCCAGACTAAAACTCAGTTTGCAGAAGAGAAAGATGTGGACTGTTCCTTACCCATCACTGCTCATTTTTCAAACTCCTTCTGGTCAGCTTAGGTTCTTTGGGGTCACGCAGTATGGCCAGCAATAAGGACAATTCTGCCCGTTAGCCTTTCCCTAAATTATTTCCTAACCCATGGAGTATGAATTTTATATGTAGAATTACAGCCAACCTTAGCAACCTTTGGTGGAGTCACAGAAACATCAGTCACTAAGGATATGGGTTGGCCTCCAGGATCTTTATTACTTGTGACAATGCACAAATAAGGAATGGCATTGAGTTTGCAGAAGTGGATATTTGGTGGGGAGAATTCTCTTACTTTATAAATACATTATGCATGAACTGCTGGAGCTAATATGCATGGAAGTCAGTGGAGCTGTTGGCACAGGGTCCCTTTCCAAAGTAGTACTGCACTCTAACCCTTGAATGATGGTTGTCCTTAGATTGCACAGAAGCACAGAGAACTGTGTGTCTGGAAACAATTAAACCAAAGATTTCCATCTTTAGTGCATGTTGAAAGCAGCTGTTGAGTCCCTAGCCTCCCACATCCTCAGTACAGTTGTTAGATCTGGTAATGTTGGCTTGGTTGTGCACATATTTGGGTGAGAACTGCAGGATCATAGGCATTTTTTTTCACGGATACATTTGGATCTTGGCATCAGCTTATCTCATTGATCTGATAAACAAATTCTTATAAGGTTGTTCTCCTGAAATGCTTAAGGGAAGGAAGAGACCTGTTTGTGACCAATCAAGGCATGGAAAAAGAGGAGCAGCTCAGTATTCATCACAGGCTTTGGCCACAGATTGGCAGGAGCTGTTTTAGCTGGCTTCAGAATGTATATCCAAGGCCCCTCCCTTAAAACACAGTTAAGGGCAGCATGTTGCTCAGAAGCAGTGTCCTCTCTTCAGAAAGCTGGGCTGAGACTCTGGAGTGTGTGTTAGTCCTGATCCTGCAGTGATTTCCACTGATGTATCACAGCTTGGAAGCCAAGGACTTCTTAGCTCCACCAAAAGGCCCCCCTACCATCTCTTCTTGCAGGACTTGGAAACAGCAGCCCAAAAACAGGTCTTCTGCAGGCAGAGGCAATGTTATCAGCTCGGATATAGGCCCAGTCCCCTGGCCTTAAATCTAAGTATAAGCTGCTGTTTGTATATTGTATTGGATCTCTGGTTCAATCTGCTTGTTACTACAGTAGCTGAAGATACAGCTGGTTACACTCTTGATTGTTTGAGCCAAATCCTGTAAATTACCAAGCCTTCCACAGAGTTTCAGATGCTTGGTCCTTTTACAGCACCCTTGTACCCATGCCCGTTCTAGTGCTTTGAACTACAGTCTTTGGGATCGAAAGCAGTTCCCAAGGGTCTGCTTCAAACAGTTGAACTGAATTTAGTCTGAGCAGCCTGGGGAAGGGCAAAGATTTTAAATCCGTAGGTCAAGCATTGGAAACCATCATCATGTCCGCAGATCCCCTACAGAATGCAAAAGAACCAGATTGTTTCTGTGTAAACAAACTGCTGCTGCCTCCATCTGCCTTGTGCAAAGCATCTGCCAACTGCTACTCTGTGGCAGAGCTGTAAGCATGAAAACGTGTCCTTGGCAAAGCCTGATGGAGGCATGAGCAACAGCATCTTTGCTCAGGGAGGCCTCGGAAGCTTCCACGTGCATGCCGGATCAAGCAGAGTGCAGCAGATCTGTTTTAAAGGGGCCTTCGGAAAAAATATGCTGCAAAAGTGAAGTGTTTCCTTTGGGCGTGGTACTGGATAGGAAGGTTTGGAGGCTGGAGTCCTTCCAGATCAAGTTCAGCTCAAACAGTGGCCATGGGTACTTTTAGACCCCACTTCAGCATAGGGCTCAGGCATGTGTTTTAAATTCAGCAGGATGTCTTGTGTGCCTTTAGGCTCTGTGGGGAGCATACATGTCTCAGAGTCGGGCATGCTAACTGAGTTTTGGAAGGGCCATGAGAATGACTTCTGAAATGTGCTGCCTTTAATTGCTCCCAGGCTGATCCCCGGTGAAGGGAGGGTACTTAGTCATCAGAATGACTTACCTGTGGGTAGAATGGGGTTCCCATCACTTGCTGACTTTAAGGTTGAGCATCTTTCCAACATGCATGTTGCAGCTCAAATGGGTGGTCTGGCTGGTGTGGGAATCACTGGGGGAACTTCTCTGCCTCATGTTATAGGAGTGATCAGACTAGATCAGTTAGCATTTTTAGTAGACATGCCATAAGCTAAGCCTCACACGCTTCCAGAGTGCCACTCCCACCTCCTTCCTCTGATCCATCTACTGCTCTGCATTCTGCTTTCTCCTGTGCTCCCCACCCCATCTGCTGCTCTGCTTTCTGCTCTCTGTCCAACGTGCTGATCTGCTTTGTGTGTCCTAGCTGATCAGCTGCTTGCCACATGGAGGCTGCTTGTAGCACATGTGCTGTGGGTTGGCCACCCTGATCAAAAGGTTCTTTGGGGCCTCAAGAGCCATGACATTTGTTTCACAGAAGAAATGATTTTCTTAGCTCTGTTGAAGTGCAGCATTTGCTGTATACTGGGAGTGGGTGCTCCCCTACCACAGGAAGAGGGGGGACAGTTTGAAAACCTGACAGCATAAGTTCAACTGGATTGCAGGTTCTTGGGGAATCTCATCTGAAAGGTGCTTGGATATTTCACTGTAGAGCCATGACCCTCATGGCAGAATGGAGCTACCCCTGCCATTCGGACCCTCCTTAGAAAAACTGGTCTCGCTCTTTTCTGTTGCTGCAGCAGTTGCTGGATGTCTCAGACCAATTTAGCAAAGCACTTAAGTGCATCCCTATGCAGCAAACCATTTAAGCATCTGCTTTGAAGCTCCATTGGTTTCAATGGCAATTGTGTGTGCAGAAGTCCTTTGCTGCATCAGATCCTGTATGTGTTACAGGGTTGGCATTTCCCAAGGAGGTAGAGATTCCTTCAGCAAACCAGAAAAAGTCAGGGACATAGTGTGA